ATGGGGTTTCACCATATTGTCCAGGCTGGTCTTGGACTTCTGACCTTAAGTGATAGGCTTGCCTTGGCCTCCCAAAGTGATGGGATTATAGGCATGAGCCACCAGGCCAGGGCTGGAAGAAACTTTTTTTTTTTCTTTTACCAGGAGAAGCTAGTCTTTCGGGATCATGGAAGAAACTTTTCTTGAATATTTTCATAGAAATTGTTCTTTGGTACTTTATAATTTTTGGTCAGTGGTATAGATTACATCTTTTGTCAGTTAAAATTTTTTGTGACATGTCTGTTGCAGTCATTGAAGTTTGGCGATTTAGAGGTATCTGTTTGAGAGGCAGCTGATTTGACTATAAGAGAAAGTTTGCATTATCTTGAGTTTATTATTATTATGTTTTTTTGAGATGGAGTTTCATTCTTGTTGCCTAGGCTGGAGTGCAGTGGCTCACTGCAGCCTCCGCCTCCTGGGTTCAAGCGATTCTCCTGCCTCAGCATCCCGAGTAGCTGGAATTACAGGTGCTCACCACCACTCTCAGCTCATTTTTTTTTTATTTTTAGTAGAGACGGAGTTTCACCATGTTAATGAGGCTGATCTTCAATGCCTGACCTCAGGTGATCCGCCTGCCTGGCTTCCCAAACTGCTGGTATTATAGACATGAGCCACCACGTCTGACCTATCTTGAGTTTTGAAAGACCAGTTTTTAAAAAATAAAACTCTTATACTATCTTACTTGTATCTTTGTAGATACAGTTTTGAGAATTGTGAAAAATGGATAATACCAGTTTCTGTGTAGAGCTACCCCAACTGACAACTTTCTTGCATTTCTCATTTTCTAAGTTTTATACATAACTTAATTGTAATTATTGAAATACATTATAGTTCATTTAATAGTGCATAAACATAATAGTTTATAGAATTTCTGTTCGAGTATAGAAGGGAGTCTCAGGTGGCATGTGTCTTTGGCTAATTGTCTTTTTCTGATCTGTGCTTAGTTGATAATAGTTGCTCTGAACAAGGTATAGAGAAGCAAATCTAGGGACTGCCCATTTTAACTTTCTTCCTTGATCTTTATAGCTACATTGGGTTCCATTTGTGGTTTTTTTTTTTTTTTTTTTTTGAGATGGAGTTTCGCTCTTGTTACCCAGGCTGGAGTGCAATGGCGCAATCGGCTCACCGCAACCTCCGCCTCCTGGGTTCAGGCAATTCCCCTGCCTCAGCCTCCTGAGGAGCTGGGATTACAGGCACGCGCCACCGTGCCCAGCTAATTTTTTGTAATTTTAGTAGAGGCGGGGTTTCACCATGTTGACCAGGATGGTCTCGATCTCTTGACCTCGTGATCCACCCGCCTCGGCCTCCCAAAGTGCTGGGATTACAGGCGTGAGCCACCGCGCCCGGCCTCAAGTGGTTTTCTAATTAGAGTATCGATCACAAGGGTAAGAGAATTTGGATCATTGGCACCAACTCATCCTGCTTCTGAAGAAACAACTTGGTAGATGTGTGCCATGATTTATGAAGCATACTACCTTCATTCCTCTTTTCTTTACCTCATCTTTTTCCTTAAATTTTATTTTATGAAGACATTCAATCATTTGTCCTGTAGAGTTTTTTATTGTCTGGATTTTGCTGTTTGCATCCCAGTGGAGTAATATATCCTCCGTATCTCCATGAATTAGGAGAGAGAATGATTTTTAGGTGTAGTCTAATGACTGTGTAGTGATTTTGCTGCCATATGGTTGCCATATTGTAGCTACCATTTTATGTTGCCTGAATTTTATTAAATTATCTCCTAGTCCATTCATTCACTTTCTGATTTGTGTATTTGTCAGTGAGCTTCTTCATTAGATGAGTATTTTTTTAGCTCTTGCAAATGACCTTATTTCACCTTTCTCTGCTAAACACTGTATATTCAGTTTTAGATAAAGTTGTTCAAAGATAGTAATAAAAATCCCTGGTTCTCCAGGAGGCAGAGGCTGCAGTGAGCTGAGATGGTGCCAGTTACTTAGTTTTGTAGCATTCATTAATTTAACCATTTTTTTCCTAAAACTTTTTCTGTGAAATAAATGTAAAGTGCTCTTCAAATGAATTATATATGTGTATATATTTCATAATGAGGAAAGCATAATCATTTTACTACATGATACTTAGAGATTTGCTATTTTAATTTGAAGAATGTATTGTTTGTACTTTTCCTACACTACCATTTCCTACTTAAATTAACATTAAAATATCAACATATTAAGGCTGGGCACGGTGGCTCACACCTGTAATCCTAGCACTTTGGGAGGCTGAGACGGGTGGATCACCTGAAGTCAGGAGTTCAAGACCAGCCTGACCAACATTGGTGAAACCCTGTCTCTAGTAAAAATACAAAAATTAGTTGGGCGTGGTGGCGGTCACCTGTAATCCCAGCTACTTGGGAGGCTGAGGTTGCAGTGAGCCAAGATTGTGCCACTGTACTCTAGCTTGGGCGACATAGTGAGACTCTGCCTCAAAAAGAAAAAAAATACTGCTTGTTGAAGTAATCTGAGCATCTTTTTTATTCCTGCTATTGCCTAACTCTTTTGGGTGGGATTTGACTTTAGTTTTTCAGTGCATTTACTTGTGCCTTCTCTCGTGCCAGAAATATTATCAGGCAGATGATGTGTTTCATAATTTATAGAGAGACCATTTTTTTTTTTTGAGACAGAGTCTTGCTCTGTCATTCTGGCTGAAGTGTAGTGGCACCATCTCTGCTCACTGCAACCCCCACCACCCAGGTTCAAGTGATTCTCCTGCCTCAGCCTCACAAGTAGCTGGTACTACAGGCGCGTGCCACCATGCCCCGCTAATTTTTGTATTTTCAGTAAAGAGGGGTTTTCACCATGTTGGCCAGGCTGGTCTCGAACTCCTGACCTCAAGTGATCCGCCCACCTTGGCCAACCAAAGTGTTGGTATTATAGGCATGAGCCACTGTGCCCGGCTAAGAGGGATCATTCTCATTTCTTTTCTTGTTCGTTTTTGAGAAGGGCCTCACTCCGTCGCTCAGCCTGCGGTACGGTGGTGTGATCATGGCTCTATGCAGCCTTGAACCCCTGGGTTCAAGCAGTCCTCCCTTATTGGCCTCCTGAGTAGCTGGAACTATAGGTGCATGCCACCATGCCCAGCTATCTTATTTATTCTTTTTAGTAGAGATGGAGTCTTGATGTGTTTCTCAGGCTGGTCTCAATCTCCTGGCCTCAAGCGGTCCTCCTACCTGGACCTCCTAAAGTGTTGGGATTATAGACATGAGCCCCTGTATCTGGCCCTGCTTTTATTTCTAATCAATATTTTCATATAGGTATTTCAGGAGCCAGCAGAGGAAGAACGAGATGGCAGAAAAAAGAAATATCCTAGTCCCCAGAAGACTCGTTCAGAATCTAGTGAACGAAGGTTCGTGTTTATCTTTAGTGAGGAAGACATTGATAACCCACTTTTTAGTTGCCTTGCAAGGGTATTAAAGGGACTTTTTAACAAATATGCTAACTCCTCTCTGTAAACTCATTAAAGAAAGGGGATGTTACTTTTCTTTCTTTCATTCTTTCTGTTTTTTGTCTTCGTCTTATTTTCTCTTCCTTTTATAAATAGTCATTGTATGTGTTTTCCTCAAGAGCTCAGGGGTGGGAGCAGTCCCCTTAGAGAATATTAATGAAATGTTCCATTTGGTTAGGGGTGCTCAGTATTAAAATGATCCATGTCATTTTTTATGACAAATAGTACAACTTGTATATTGAATCATCAGTCTAAAATAAAAAATTGGTCTTTGTTTAGGAACACTTTGTTTTGAGCCTTTTTTCTTTTTAATTCAAAATTCCTGTTTTTCCCTGCCCACCCCTCCCCATATTTTGGATTCACCTCTTTTTTTCATTCTCCCCACCCAGTATAATTGCAAAAGGGATGTTTTTTTTCTCTCTGTATATATTAGAGGAATTATGTGGTAGTTTTGCAACTTTATAAAAAAGCATAGATATTACACATTTGGATAACACAAGGATAGTATTTTATGCTATAGATTTGTTTGCAGACTTGGTTTCTATAGCCTGTTTATGGCTTTTATATCTGTATATTATAGGACCCGTGAGAAAAAAAGAGAAGACGGGAAGTGGAGAGACTATGACCGGTACTATGAGCGGAATGAATTGTACCGTGAGAAGTATGACTGGAGAAGAGGTAGGAGTAAGAGTCGGAGTAAGAGCCGAGGCCTGAGTCGTAGTAGAAGCCGAAGTAGGGGGCGCAGCAAAGACCGGGATCCAAATAGGAATGTTGGTGAGTAGATGAATGTCTTCCTAAAAACTCTATAGTTGCTTATCTGTCTCTATCACAAGGGTACAAGAAATTAGCTTAAAGATAGATGTACCTTTAATATGTCTAAGCAGTGTAAAAACTGAAATTGTCTCAAGAAACTCAATATTCATTGTGTTAGAAAACAGGCCTCTATTCTCGGGATGGAGTCAAGGGAGTTTGATTGAAAAGGAGCTATTCATAAGTGTATCATTGTACATGTTGAGACTTAACTCATTTTATGTAATTGATACAAATATTCTTTAATCAATAAAGCTATCACTTGAGGAAGAGGGTTGTCTGCTTTTGCTTTTTTGGTTGGTTTCCGAAAAGTAATTGATTTGCCGTAAGGGTGCTTGAAGTTTATAAAATTGAAAGGAAAAAGTAAGTGGATTACTGGGATCTCAACCACTCATTTCCTGAGATACAAGTTTGGAAGTCAGTTCATAGGTAACCTTCTTATTAAATATCGGTGGAGAAACTGACTCTTTTTCATTAAGTGTAACTGATGTTGACACTATAAAAGATGATTTTGCACAAGTTCTTGCCCAAGATATGTCACATTGTTGATGTTCCTGCTTTTAGTATATGTTAATAAGGAGAGCAGTGTAAAATAGGGATAGCTCGACAAGTTTAATTCAACATTCTCATATGTTCTATGTGAGAAAATAAACATTAAGAACATGAAATATCTGTTCTCTTTGTTTTTTGTTTTTAATTTTGTCTCCAAACAGAGCACAGGGAAAGATCGAAGTTTAAGAGTGAAAGGAACGACTTGGAGAGTTCCTATGTGCCTGTGTCTGCACCACCTCCAAACTCTTCTGAGCAGTATTCCTCTGGGGCACAGTCTATTCCCAGCACTGTTACTGTGATCGCACCTGCTCACCACTCTGAAAACACAACTGAGAGTTGGTCTAATTACTATAACAATCATAGCTCTTCCAATTCTTTTGGTCGAAACCTACCACCAAAGAGGCGATGCAGAGATTATGATGGTAAAAATCCCCACCTTTTCTCATATTGTGCCCAAAAGTACTAGCAAAGCAAATGTTGCATGTATTGCATATCTTTTAGTTATAGTCCAATTTTTTTTTTTTTTTTTTAAGACAGAGCCTTGCTCTGTTGCCCAGGATGGAGTGCAGTGACGTGGTCTTGGGTCACTGCAACCTCCACTTCCTGGGCTCAAGTGATTCTCCTGCCTCAGCCTCCCAAGTAGCTGGGATTACGGGTGCGTGCCACAATGCCTGGCTAACTTTTATGATTTTGGTAGAGACACGGTTTTGCCATTTTGGTCAGGCTTGTCTCAAACGCCTGACCTCAGGTGATATGCCTGCCTTGCCCTCCCAAAGTGCTGGGATTATAGGTGTGAGCCACCGTGATGTGCCTGTAGTCCAAATTTTGTTAAAAGGGATGAGTGGGGAGGAGAATCTCTTTTGTCATATGCTTATTTACTTGTTTAATTTAATGGTTTGGCTCTTGTTAAGAGAATATTTAAATTTTACCCTTTTTAAGATTTTTGTTTGCTTTTTATGTTCTCATTGTTTTTTCAAACACTGTATACTATAGTATATCATAAAATTTCATAGACACTAGTAATTCTAATTTTTTTTTTTTTTTTTTGGAAACCGTCTCTCTCTGTCCCCCAGGCTAGCGTGCAGTGGCACTATCTTGGCTCACTGCAGCTTCTGCCACCAAGTTTCAAGCAATTTTCCTGCCTCAGCCTCCTGAGTAGCTGGAATTACAGGCATGAGCCACCACGCCCAGCTAATTTTTTGTATTTTTAGTAAGAGACAGGGTTTCACCATGTTGGTCAGGCTTGTCTTGAACTCCTGACTTTAGGTGATCCACCCACCTCGGCCCCGCAAAGTGCTGGGATTATAGGTGTGAGCCACCATGCCTGGCCAGGAGTTATTATTATTATTAATTAAAACCCCCCTCCACCTCCTGGAATTGTTATTTTTATTTTATTTATTTATTTTGAGTTGCAGTCTCTCACTGTTGCCTGGGCTGGTGTGCAGTGGCGCGATCTTGGCTTGCTGCAACCTCCGCCTTCCAGGTTGAAGCGAGTCTCCTGCCTCAGCCTCCTGAGTAGCTAGGATTACAGGTGCCTGCCACCACGCTCAGCTAATTTTTGTATTTTTAGTAGAGACGAGGTTTTATTATGTTGGCCAGTCTGTTCTCGAACTCTTGACCTCGTGATCCACCTGCCTCGGCCTCCCGAAGTGCTGGAATTACTGGCATGAGCCACCACGCCTGGCCAGGAATTGTTATTTTTTTTAGTACTGTTTGGTGCTGGTAATTTGCTTGATTTGCTGACTTTCCGTTTGAATGAATGAATCCGTATATGTGTATTTCTTTTAAATTTTCATTATGGAAGTATTTAAATATTCATAAAAGTTGACAAAATGATATGCTTAACCCCAGTGTATTCGTTACATCATTTAAATAGACACCAACTCATGGGGAATGTTCTTTAATTTATACTCCCACTCACTTCTGTGGCCTGTATTATTTTAAGCAAGTCACAGACACCATAATTTTTTTCTATAAATATAGAATGCATATGTTTTTACATTTTACTTATTTTTATTTATTTAGGGATGGAGTCTCGCTCTGTCGCCCAGGCTGGAGTGCAGTGAGTGGTGCGATCTCGGCTTACTGCAACCTCCGCTTCCTGGGTTCAAGCAATTCTCTGCCTCAAACTCCCGAATAGCTGGGGTTACAGGTGCCTCCCTGAAATCTACAGGTGGCAGCCTGCCACCAAGCCCAGCTAATTATTTTTTGTATTTTTAGTAGAGATGGGTTTTACCATCTTGGCCAGGCTAGTCTTGAACTCCTGACCTTGTGATCCACCCGCTTCAGCCTCCCAAAGTGCTGGGATTACAGGCATGAGCAACCATGCCCTGTTATGTTTTACTTATTTTAAAGTAGGGAATAGAGTTAAATCATAATTCAAGAATTACCTCATTCTGACCCTGATCTTTTAGCCACAGAATTCTCCTTCCCAAGGCCAATGTAATGTTATGAATGTGTTATGTATCTTTCCAAACATAGTCTGTGCATCTGTACATAAATAAATACATATACACATTTTCCCCACCATTTTTTTTTTTTTTTTAACATAAAAGTATACTACTCATACTTCTGCATAATTTTTCACTTAGCAGTATTTCCTGGCATTCATCCTATGTTAAAACATAAAGAGCTTCCTCAATACTTAGTATTCTTTTTTTTTTTTTTAATGAGACAGAGTCTCACTCTGTTGCCCAGGGTGAAGTGCAGTGGTGCAATCTCAGCTCACTGCAACCTCTGCCTCCTGGGTTCGAGTGATTCTCCTGTCTCAGCCTCCCAAGTAGGTGGGACTACAGGCACATGCCACCATGCCCCGCTAATTTTTGTATTTTTAGTAGAGACAGGGTTTCACCGTGTTGGCTAGGATGGTCTCCATCTCTTGACCTCATGATCTGCCTGCCTTGGCCTCCCAAAGTGCTGGGATTACAGGTGTGAGCCACAGCACTCAGCCCCTCTTCTTAGTATTCTTTTTTATTTTTTTCTTTTGAGATGGAGTCTCTGTCTGTTGCCCAGGCTGGAGTAGAGTGGTGCGATCTCGGCTCACTGCAACCTCTGTCTCCAGGGTTCAACTGATTCTTTTGCCTCAGCCTGCCGAGTAGCTGCGACTGCAGGCGCCTGCCACCACAGCCGGTTAATTTTTATATTTTTAGTAGAGATGGGCTTTTATCCTATTGGTCAGGCTGGTCTTGAACTCCTGACCTCATGATCTGCCTGCCTCGGCCTCCCAAAGTACTGGGATTACAGGCATGAGCCACTGTGCCCGACCTTAGTATTCTTTATGTACAAACATATGTTTAATTTATTCCTTATTGATGTATGTTTGGGATGGTTCTATTATTTTTCTACTATGAACAGTGCTACAAATGATAACTTGGTATATAATGTCCACTTGAATAATAATGGTTGCTTTAGAACAATGTAATGACAATAGGTCATTGAGATTAAATAATTTAGGTCAATGCCCTTCTTCTCCCCTGCCCCAAGCCTTTGCTAAATTGATACTTGCTTAAAATATCTGAAAACTTCATTGCAAATGGTTTAGTCTAATTGTAGTTGGTAACTTATTCTTGCCTCTTATTTGCTGTCTCAACAAGTCATAGTCTCATAGTATAAAAAGTAGAGAATATCTTCCTTAGGTGTCATGAAAAGAAAAAAAAAAAAGTAGAGAGTACACATGCCTCTCTACCTTGGGGATATGTGATGCTTAACAGAGCAACACTGACCCTTTGGATTATTTGGAGATAACCACTTTGTAAATGAGATTGATGGGTTTTTCAGGGGCATATTTTGTTGTTTTCTGAACTTTTAAGTAGTTCATATGAAGATTATTTTTTTATTCTTTTTTTCACAGAAAGAGGATTTTGTGTACTTGGTGATCTTTGTCAGTTTGATCATGGAAATGATCCCCTAGTTGTTGATGAAGTTGCTCTGCCAAGTATGATTCCTTTCCCACCCCCTCCTCCTGGACTTCCTCCTCCACCACCTCCTGGAATGTTAATGCCTCCAATGCCAGGTCCAGGCCCAGGCCCAGGCCCAGGCCCAGGCCCAGGTCCAGGTCCAGGCCCGGGCCCAGGTCCAGGTCCTGGCCATAGTATGAGACTTCCTGTTCCTCAAGGACATGGTCAGCCTCCACCATCCGTTGTGCTTCCCATACCAAGTAAGTATATATCTGTTGAATTTTTCTTTAGTGGAGAATCCTATTTAGAAGAAACTCATCCCTTTTAGCTAACTTGATATTCGTTTAAAGTGTTTGAAAAATAGAGTAATAATAGAATTTGGAATATATTCCCATAATTAAGATGTTTTTCTTTTCTTTTTTCCATCCATTATTGCATGATGTTATTTGTATTACCACAGCGTAAATTTTGTGTGTAGCAGCCTAACCTATTTTGACCTGCAGTCAAATCTAGTTATCTTAGGAAAGCTAGTTTGTTTGTATTTATTTATTTATTTAGTCAGTTAGTTTTTCTTTAGAGATGGGGTCTCATTATGTTGGCCAGGTTGGTCTTGAACTCCTGGCCTCAAGAAATCCTTTCCTGCCTTGGTCTCCCAAAATGCTAGGATTACAGGCATGAGCCACCACGCCTGGCCAAGAAAGCCGGTTTTTAAGTTGTCACAGAAAAAACGTGTCAGGAGTTTTATGAAATTTTCCAGTCTTTTAAGAAAATCTCTTCAAGAATATTGAAATAATGTTAAACAATTTTTTTTATTAAGGACGTTTTTCAGGGTAGAATAATATGTGTGTTGCATGTACTGTTATCCAGCCTCAATGATTATCAATATTCAGCTGTTTTGTCTCATTTATTTTCACCTCTTTCCCATGTACTTTTTTTGGGTTGGGGTTTCCTTTTTTTTGCTGGAGTGAATTTTAAATGCTGTGTCACTTAACCAGTATGTAGTTCAGTATGGGTCTCTTTTCTTAAGGACTTTTTTTTTTTTTTTTTTTT